CTTGTAATCTAATCCCCACCCTTCCCCCAATCTTCTAGTCCCCATCCAACCACAAATCCCTAATTCCCCAACCCCTTGAAATCTCCAAATCTCTTGTAATCCTCTAATCCCCACCCAACCACAAATCCCCAACACCTTGTAATTCCTAACTCCCTAATCCCCACCCCCTTGTAATCCCCACCCAACCCCCTAATCCCCACCAACACCCTAATCCCCAACCTCCTAATCCCCACCCAACACCCAAATCCCTAACCTGCTAACCCCCACCAACACCCTAATCCCCAACCTCCTAATCCCCACCCAACACCCAAATCCCTAACCTGCTAACCCCCACCAACACCCTAATCCCCAACCTCCTAATCCCCAACCCCTAATCCCCACCAACATCCTAATCCCAACCCCTAATCCCCACCAACATCCTAATCCCCAATCCCTAATCCCCAGCCTCCTTGCAATCCCCAACATCCTAATCCCCAACCCCTTATAATCCCCAGCCTTCTAATCCCCAACCCCTAAACCCCAACCTCCTAATCCCCACCAACACCCTAATCCCCAACCTCCTTGTAATCCCCAGCCCCTTGTAATCCCCAACCTCCTAATCCCCAACTCTCTAATCCCCAACCTCCTAATCCCCACCAACACCCTAATCCCCAACCTCCTTGTAATCCCCAGCCCCTTGTAATCCCCAACCTCCTAATCCCCAACTCTCTAATCCCCAACCTCCTAATCCCCAACCTCCTAATCCCCAACCTCCTAATCCCCAACCTCCTAATCCCAAACCCCCTAATCCCCAACCTCCTAATCCCAAACCCCCTAATCCCCAACCTCCTAATCCCCAACCCCCCAATCCCCAACCCCTTGTAATCCTCAACTCCTAATCCCCAACCCCTAATCCCCACCAACACCCAAATCCCCACCAACACCCTAATCCCCAACCCCCTTGCAATCCCCAACTCCCTAATCCCCAGCCTCTTAATCCCCAACCCCCTTGCAATCCCCAACTCCTAATCCCCTACCTCATAATCCCCAATCCCTTATACTCCCCAACCCCCTAATCCCCACCCAACCTCCTAATCCCCAACCTCCTAATCCCCAGCCCCCTAATCCCCAACCCCTTGCAATCCCACCTCTCAGATCCACACGGCAATTACATGCGGTCAGCTCCGTCAGCTTGATTTATTTGAGGCAATAAATTTTGAATGGAAATGTGGGTGTCAGCACGAGCGGGTGACGAGCATGGGACTCTATTGAATCGCTTTTTGAAATGTACGCAAAAAAAGGGGGGAGGAAAAAGGGGGAAAGAGAGAGAGAGGGGAGGGTGGGGGAGAGGGAGAGAGGGGGAGGGGGAGAGGGAGAGGGAGAGGGAGAGGGAGAGGGGGAGGGGGAGAGGGAGAGAGAGAGGGGGGAGGGAGAGAGAGAGAAAATGATAATAGGGAGAGAGGAAGAGGGGGAAGGAGGGAGAAGAGAGAGAGGGGGGGGGTGAGAGAGAGAGAGAGAGAGAGAGAGAGAGAGAGAGAGAGAGAGAGAGAGAGAGAGAGAGAGAGAGAGAAATAATGATAGGGGAAGAGGAAGAGGGAGAAGGACAGAGAGAGAGAGAGAAAGAGAAATAATGATAGGGGAAGAGGGAGAAGGAGAGAGAGAGAGAGAGAGAGAGAGAGAGAGAGAGAGAGAGAGAGAGAGAGAGAGAGAGGGAGGGAGAGAGAGAGAGAGAGATAAAGTAGGGAGGAAGGGGGGCCTCAGATTTTTTTTTTTTTTTTTAAGAGAAGAAGGCGAGTGGTGGGTTGATTGGTAGGGGGGGGGGGAGGAAAGGGAGAGCGAAGAGGAGGGAAAGAAGAAATTAAGTGTTATGAAGTGCTTGTATGAGGCATGTTAATGGTGAGGCTAGACATGGTATGAATGGTTGAGATTATGTATTATTTTGTGTCATTTTTGTTATCAATTCTGCTGTTACTATTGCTACTGTTATAATAATATTATTATTATTATTATTATCATTATCATTATCATTATCATTATCATTATTATTATTATTATTATTATTATTATTATTATTATTATTATTATTATTATTATTATTATTATTATTATTGTTATTATTATTCCTATCATCATTATCATTATTATTGAATATAGGTTTTATTTGGAATAATATCAGTGACAATATGACGATGAAAAAAACGGAAAAAAAATATTTTTCGAATCTTTAAGCAAATCTATTGAAAAAAAGTACACCAATAAAAAAAAAAAAACGATTACAGGGTAAAAAAAAAAATCTGTAACACGATTTCCTAACTGAAAAGCCAATGATCTATTATTAAATTATTTACAACTAAGTTCCGCGGTCCAACAAAGAGAAAGCTGATGGAGGTAGAGGAACGGAGAAGAGAATGCCAAATGATCTGAATGGCTGCATTGTCAGCATGAATGGCGGCCTGTGATTGGCTGAGCGCTGCGGTTTACAACTGTAATTGTGATTGGCCTCTTTGTCTGTTTGCTGGTTTGTCCTTTTGTTTGTCTGTTTGGGTGGTAGTTTAGATATACTTGTTTGGTGTAGATTGGTACTTATCATTATGTTAATTGCGTGGCGTCGTTCATCATTTATTCTGATTGATGTAGATTGTTATTTGCCATTATGTTAATTACTTGGTATTGGTAATCGATATTTCATCTTAACAATTAATATGTATAATGCGTCATCATGTGATATCGGGCAGCTTATAGAAATTCTGCTTAGATGTATTAAAAAAAAAGAAGAAAGAAATATATATATGTATATATATGTAAAAGATAATTTTGATAATAGTGATTATGATAATTATGATAATGATTAAAAGACCTTTAGCAAAATGATTATCCTCACATACCTTGAATTAGCGTGGTTAGATTAACATTTAAATTAAGAGAAAGAGCATAAATTGCATAAAAGTTCGGATAAAATGGCTTTGAAATGTTACTAAGAACTCTACTACTTTTTTGGCCTTGTGACCTGCTTTGTATACGATTTACCTAGGTAGCTAAATGCGTTAATATATATATATATTTTTTTATGATTTCAAACAATTATTTAAAAAAGAAAACTATGATGCCGGCTGCCTGGGATTTAAGGTCGGGTTTTTCATTTATTATAAATACCTGAATACGCTTTTTAAAAAAACGATTCTTTATGAAGGGAAGACACTCGCCAGTTTTAAGGGTTTTTTTTACAAATGGATTATTCTATAATATTAACAATAATGATATAATGATGATAATAATAATGATAATAAGAATAGTTATAATAATGGTAATAATAAGAACAGTATAATTATCATCATAATAATGATAACGATAATAATAGTAATAATGATAATAATACTACTAATAATAATGGCAGTAATAATAATAATAATGATAATAATAACAATGATGATGACAATGACAATGACAATGACAAAATGAAAATGATAATGATAATATTAACAACATCAACTACAACAGCAAAAATAGTAGTAATAATGATATCAATAATAACAGTAATGATTATATTGATAATGATGACGATATTAATAACTATAACTTAATAACTATGACTTTGATTATTGTCATTACATTTTTTTTCTTTCTTTCTTTGTTATTTTCTCTTCTTCTTCTTTTCTTTTTTTTATTCAAATACATTTATAAATGCATTTCAAAATTTAAATCACCTGGTCATCTGTGCAAGTATAAAGAAATGAAGTTAATATGACTTTTTTTTTTCTTTTCTTTTTTTTCTTTTTTTCAATACCTTTTTCGAATAAAGACTTTTAATATGAAACACAATTTGACGAAATATAAAGAAATATAAACTCTTAAACTCATTTACTTTTCCTCTCTGTTGCTTATTTGCCAAATTAAATAAGGAAAATTAATTACATAATTGGTTCTGAAAGGCTAAATGCGTTTTAGTCTTTGATGTTTCATCCTTGTAATCCACTTCATTAATTTGATTATTATCGTTATCAATATTAGTGTTATTATCTTATTCCTTATCGTCTTTCACCTCATTATCATTATTTTCATCATTCATCATCTTCATTATCAACGCGCAGATTACCACAAACTATTAATGTCACCACCACTATCATCACCTCTATTACCACAGTCATCTCTACCACCCCCACAAAAGACCACCACCACAAAAAAAAACTGTTCACTAAATTGAAAATCCAATTAGGTCTAACTCTCTTCTTTTTATCTGTTTATTTATTTGTCTATTTATTTATTTATTTATCTATTTTTATTATCGTGTCTCCGCTTTCTAATTCTTGTTTTGTTTTCATTGGCTCCGAGTGAGGGGACGGGGTGGGGGTGTCTCTCCCAATCTCTCTCTCCTTCTCTCTCTCTCTCTCTCTCTCTCTCTCTCTCTCTCTCTCTCTCTCTCTCTCTCTCTCTCTCTCTCTCTCTCTCTCTCTCTCTCTCTCTCTCTCTCTGGAAATGGAAGAAGAGGGCGAGAAAGACCAGGGAGACGGTGAATGGATGGAATAAAAGAGATAAAAAGGAAAATGATAAAAAAATAAGTAAATGAGATACGATTGGGGAATAGGAATATGTGGAAATAAAGCGAGGAACAGGTAAAAAAAAGAAGATTAATAACATCATGATAATTGGTAACACTAATTAATGATAAGGATAATAGTCATAATGTTACTAATGACAATCACAATATCAGTAATAACAACAAAAGTAATAATAACAATTATTGTGATAATAACAATAATAATAGTAATAGTAATAACAAGACTAATTAAAATGATGATGAGGGTAGTAATATGATAATTTGATAATGACATAATAATATGATGATAATATAGTATGATGATGGTAATAATAATGATGATAATATTAATAATAATAAAAATATTAATAATAACAATAATATTGATAATGATAATGATAGCAACAATAATAATATTAATAATAATGTGCAATAAAGATACTAACAATGATGATATTAATACCATCATTAGCGTCATCATTATCATCATTAGCATTATTGGTATTAAGTGTTTTCTTTTTTTTCTATTTTATTATTATCATCATCTTTGTTTGTTTATTTGTTTATTTCAAGGATATTTATTTTTAAATTTTTCAAATTCAAATGATTTTGAAAATTGTGTCGAATTTAGTACATTCTTTTGTACAATGACAGGTATGTTTTGGGCCGAAAAAACGTAAAACTACATTTATTAATTAACAACCTGTCAATGACGGTATAAGAAATCTCTGGGCGTCACTGTCTCCGGTAATTTCTGGCAATGTCCTGCCGTTTGGCCCGGGAGACAGCTACATGTAGCAGACTCTCGGACTTTCCGCTCGACTCGCTCTAGCGTGTCGCGACGCCTATTGCCGTACCCGGCGTCATGAGTCAGTTTGTTATGATACAAGACGAAATATAAGATGTAAACAAGAAAACAGCTAAAAACGAAACAATATAAAATAGAAATACAAAGCTAGGAATTAAAACATTAAAGAATTCAAATAAAGGCTAAGATCCGAATCATGAGACAGGAATACAAGAAAACAAACTGAGACTAAAAAGCAAAGAAACGATACACAAAATGAGAACACAAAATAAAATAAAGCTAAGACGGTCCATCCAAACAAATTCAAAGATTATATAAAACATGGCATTTCTTTCCTATAAATGAATACCTCTAGTTTCTGTGGCCAAAAAACAATACTCTACTTAACTTTAGCTCGGTGGGCCCTGCAGCTCGGCAAAAGGGTGCAATCCCAGAGTCTCCATCAAGCTCCCTCATTCCCTAAAATATATGTTCGTTGGACACAAAAGTCGAGATAAAAAAACATGGCAGTATCATAGCCTCTGCTTGTATTTTAAAACGTTCTTTTTATTCATAGGAATTCTCTTTTACTATTCATTTTGCTAGTTAAAATATTTAAATAGTAAAATTGTACAAACATTGTAAACATAACACATATAAAAGATACAGAATTAAGATATACGAAAGTTTGAAATTATGAACTAAAACACCAACAGAAATACGTACAAATAAAAATAATTATGGTCACTAAAATTAACAACTAAACCAACTATTTAACTCAATAAAACGTTGGATAAATCAATTAAATGATAAAGACTGGACTATTGTGAACATATCTCTTTGTAGAGGTTTTCTTAGCCAAGAGATGGCACTCC